AGGACGCAAGCAGATTTTGACATCAAATTTTGGGGTAAAAAAGTGCGTCTTATATACCGAAAAATACGGTAATACAACTTCTGAGTATATCACTCATTAATACATCTCATAGTGGAACCTACCTAATCGATAAATTTGTAATACACTTACTTTTCTAAACATTTCTTAAACGCATTTTAAATACAGCGCACACGATCCATAGAAGATTCTTGAGAGATACTCGAATAATTGTCGGTTCGTTTATTAATCTCTTTTTCTCGCTCTCGTAACAAAAAATATGAAAAAAAAACCTTATGTCTTACAGGTGGAAGTCCAGAGACCCGGATGCTACATGTTGTAGCGTTAGTAATCAACGCATCTTGGAGCATGGAGAAGATGAGGCAGACACGAGTTTTGTAAAAAAAAACAAAAAAACAATAAGAATACATTTGCATTTAATTTGTTTTTCAAAAAAAAAAATTCTAGCACAAAAACTCTCTTGATACGTCAGGGTTTTTCTCGAAAAATTGCAACATCGAAATAAGTGTTGGATTTTGTGACGAGGATACTTAGATCTGGCTATAATATTAATGCCCTTAAGCTGGATGAAACCAATTCTATACGCATGCCTGTCTATATTTCGTATTGATAATACAATAATCTTACGAAATGTAAGGTCATGTTTCACGTGAAAATAATAATAGGGCTAATTCGGACTATAAAGGATAATAGGGCTAATTCGGACTATAAAGGATAATAGGGCTAATTCGGACTATAAAGGATAATAGAGCTAATTCGGACTATAAAAGATAATAGGGCTAATTCGAATTATAAAGGATAATAGGGCTAATTCAGGCTATAAAGTCACGTGACCTAATACCTTCTTGATCTCCAGGACTGCATTCAGTATTCGAGGCATTAGAAATTATCGGAGCGTCCAGTACTTCCTCTCCACTGCCCCCGACGTCCACCGTCTCCTCTTCACTGCTACAACCCTCCATAATGTCTTCACTTTCTGGTTTGGGATCTTCAGCTGTAGCTGGGAGCCGGGCTTCCATCATTGGATGTGAAAGACGTCTGAATGATTAAAATAAGATTAGTAATACTGTTTGTCTGCAAAAAAAAGCCAACGATGCATGACCCTCAAACAATGGTGTATCTAGATATATTTGGGGGGATGTGCGTCACTAATCTTCTTTAAACAACAATCACGCACGTCCTAGCAAAACGTTTCTAGCTGATCTAAGGGGACTGTTATTTTATTGGGATCTATAAATTTCTAAGGGGACTATTATTTTATTGGGATCTATAAATTTCTAAGGGGACTATTATTTTATTGGGATCTATAAATTTCTAAAGGGACTATTATTTTATTGGGATCTATAAATTTCTAAAGGGACTATTATTTTATTGGGATCTATAAATTTCTAAGGGGACTATTATTTTATTGGGATCTATAAATTTCTAAGGGGACTATTATTTTATTGAGATCTTTAAATTTCTAAGGGGGACTATTATTTTATTGGGATCTATAAATTTCTAAGGGGACTATTATTTTATTGGGATCTATAAATTTCTAAGGGGACTATTATTTTATTGGGATCTGTAAATTTCTAAGGGGACTATTATTTTATTGGGATCTATAAATTTCCGATTTTTCATTTTATTCATCGGAATTCTCCAACCGGATCGATTATCCCCCACCCCCTCTCTCCCCCTTATAGCTACGCCACTGCACTGAAAGTAATTTGTGTTATGTTAACCTTCTTCTTCTTCGCATGGGATTGAGAACCCATATATATTAGAAAATTAGTGGGCCTGTTTTAGTTTTTCCTGTATGTATAGGCGCACACGTCATGCCCAGAAAATGCAAAGCAAAATCCGAATTAAACACACTAGTACACCAAATTGATTAATACAGATCTGTTTGTTTAAGAATTTCCAGAAAGACTACCTACAACGTCTCTAATTTTTAATGATAGAACTAGAGGGAAGGCGGCTAGCCAATAGCACCCACCGCCAACTCTTGGGCTACTCTTATCTGACCAAAATGTAAAGCGTGTTTTTGTGGCAACATACTGCGAACCATAAACCCTAAGATTCACAGTCCCAGCACGTTAACTACTAGATCACGCCCAACCTAGGCAGCTAGTGAAAAACACCCACCGCCAACTCTCGGGCTACTTTTTTCTGGCTATAACGCGTTTTTTTTTTTTGATGAATCATATGAATCATAATATTTAGTATGAATATCATATCATATCATATCAGTATGAATCATAATATTTACAATTACTCCAAATTTCGTTATTTTCTTCTCATTGAATAAACTCTCTTTTCTTTTCAGGTTGTTTTTCTTGACTCGTTATCTTATTCAGAAGCGAAGCTGTGTTATTTTAGAAAACGTAAATTATTAGAAGTATCTTAAAACTACAATTCTGTTTTGGTTAGATTTAAATGATGCGCTTATTTATAAGCCATCGTGGCATGTAAAAGGTGTCGTCCCAGTGACTCGCGGTAAGATATAAAGCTAAAATTAGACGTTCGATTCCTGTATGCGCTTCAATAAACTTTAAAGAAAAGCTGAACATGAAGAACCTTCGAAGGGTTTTTTTTGAAGTACTGATAAAATTACTTTACGTAATTTGAGAATTTAAATCAAGATTTTTTTTTTTGGATCCGAGAAGTTTTCGTTGAGTCTGTTTTTTTTTTCTTCATTCGTGGGACACTCGAGGCGTGTTTAAATCTTGATTTTGTTAAAGAACCTCCTATAACAAGACTTTTAAAACACATACATAATGCATGTAGAAGAAAAACAGTCGCCATGTTTCCAGAAATCTAGGCAGATTTACACAAAATCCCGATTACTTTATTTTTTTAACTTCTCACTATTCTCAAATACGTAAAAGAAGAAACACAGATTCACGATTTCAGAGACAGATAACTGAAGGACAGAATCCACAGATGAATATAGACAAACACATAGTTAGATTGACCAGACAGACAGACAGATAGATATCTCACTTCTTATCTCGTCTTCCGCTTCCAGTGTCTCGGAAACCTTTGGCAAAAGGGTTATTCTCGATCTTCAGTTGGGTGATCTGAAACATCAATCATGGTTAGACGATTAAACTTTCAAATTTCTGCATTACAAACTTAGCATTTATTGAAATCACTCTCAGAAATAAAACAAAATATGGTTATTTCAGCTTTCTGAATAATCGCTTATCTTAAACCCATAAATAGAACTGACCAACCAGCACGAGGATAATCTGCGGCTAGAACTGGCCAGCCACACAGAGGACAACTCACATTTAGAACTGACCAGCCAGAAAAGAAGATAAACCACATATAAAACTGACCATCCAAATAGAGAGGACAACCCACATCTAGGGCTTACCAACCAGCCAGAAGATAGTCCACAGCTAGCTGCCAGTCAAAGGACAATCCACAGCTATAGCTGACCAGAAAAGCCAGGGGACAATCCAAAGGTTTAATCTGACCAGCCAGTCAGGAGACAATCCACAGCTATAGCTGACCGGCCAGCCAGGGGACAATCCAAAGGTTTAATCTGACCAGCAAGTCAGGTGACAATCCACAGCTATGGCTGACCAGCCAGCCAGCGGACAATACAAAGGTTTAATCTGACCAGCCAGTCAGGAGACAATCCACAGCTATAGCTGACCAGCCAGCCAGAGGACAATCCAAAGGTTTAATCTGACCAGCCAGTCAGGGGACAATCCAAAGGTTTAATCTGACCAGCAAGTCAGGTGACAATCCACAGCTATAGCTGACCAGCCAGCCAGCGGACAATACAAAGGTTTAATCTGACCAGCCAGTCAGAGGACAATCCACAGCTATAGCTGACCAGCCAGCCAGGGGAGAATCCAAAGGTTTAATCTGACAGATTATTAGGTAAACAGAACAATCACAGTAAACTTGTATATCCGGAACGTAGCTAGTTTACTACTTGTACAGTGGGACAAACACTCTGTGTGGCAGTTATTCATTTATTTTTCTACAACTACTTTCTGACTGTATCGTCAGTAAATACTGCTTAATATATGATTGTCAGTTTGAAGAGATCACTTGGAAGATTTTGATAGAATAAGAAAGTAGAATTTCAGAAGTGCAACGAGTTTCTTTTATTGCACTGTTTGTTTGTCCGTTTGTTGAGTTTCGCACAAAGCTACTCGAAGGCTATCTGCAATATACATAAACGTTACTTACTGATTTATGCTTTAAAATGAACGCAGTTCTTTCTCAACCTATCTATTAGTTGACGGGGCAGGGTACAAGGATTTTCTAAAATAATTATAATTGGCATTAAATTATTATAGTTTGGTTTGTTTGTTTTTTTTAATTTCGCGTAAAGCTACTAGAGGGCTATCTGCGCTAGCCGTCCATAATTTAGCAGTGTAAGACTAGAGGGAAGGCAGCTAGTCATCATCACCCACCGCCAACTCCTGGGCTACTCTTTTACCAACGAATAGTGGGATTGACGCCATTATAATGCCCCCACGGCTGAAAGGGCGAGCGTGTTTGGTATGACGGGGATTCGAACCCGCGATCCGCAGATTACGAGTCGAGCGCCCTAACCACCTGGCCATGCCGGGTCAATTATTACAGTAAGAACACAAAATATTTTGCACGGTCAGTGGTCCTTGTGAGTTTTCTGCTTAGAAAGATTTAATTATATTTCATTAATGATGATAATATAAGGGGTTGTTCTGATGTTCACGTACTGTACATATCATACGCCCCGTCTAGCTTCAAGAAGAAGAACCAGATTCTCTATAGGGCACAGCGCCCCAAAATTCGTTAATCCGACACTGACGTGAGCAAGCACGCTGTCATATTACACCCAAACTCACAGACTTTCACGTCTGCGCTAACCATCCCAAAGTTTGAAATGCTAGACTAGAAGAAAAGCAGCTGGTCAGGAGTACCCACCCTTGGGTTATATTATACCTTTGTCTAATCAAACAGTGGGATTTGACCGTCACCTTTATAACGCTTTCACGAGTCCAGAGTGCGATTTTTTATTTTCTTGCGGGAAGAGGACGCGAACGCAGGGCCCCCAGATCCATAGTCCGGCATGCTGAACACTGAGTCACGCTTAGCCCCAAAGTTTTTATTATTATTAAAAATTGTTTCAATGGAACGTTCGATGTTCAAACTATGTAAGAGAGAAAAAAAAACAACAAATGCTCGATTTAAAGTTCTTTTACAAGTTCTTAAAATATGTATAGTCTCTGCCCCTTTTGAGCCCCGAGTTATTCTTGTCACCCAGTCACGCTAACATTTTCCCACGACATAATTATATCATATCTGCTCCGATCCCGTTTCATGCGGCAGTGTGCACTTTTTGTGTACATGTTTTGATTTCATTAATAGCACCAAAGTTTTACTAGTTTCAGCAAATATTTCGGTTTTTGACGAAACTTGACAGTATAGGATACAACGTTTCGTTTTGGGGGGGATTATTTAATGCGCTTCAAAGTGCTTACTATTTAGACAGAAGATCAGTGCAATTTCAAAAGATCAAAAACAAAAAAAAGAATTGTTCGTAAAAAACGTCACTTAGGCTTAGCGAGACCATATTTTTATGATATCAACTCGTAACTACCTACATTCCAATGTAACACTCTAGGATACTTGGAGTTACACATTCTTTTTTTTTTGTCTTCTTCCATGATGAAGACCCTGCTTAACAAGCAGTGACGCGGACATGACCATCTCAAAGGGTCAACATACCGCGCGTGCTTACCGTGAAGCCCAGGCGCAGCCGGAAAAAAAAAGATGCCGCCCTCCACACGGAATCACTCGCGTCGTTAAATGAACACAACGGCCGTCTTTACCGGTTAACTCGGGCATCCCAGGACGGCGACAGCGGGGCTGTTCGCGAGAGAAAGATGACCATCCCTACAGGACACTCTTCACGTGAGTTTCATAATCACTGGTCTCTTATTATCGTATGACGAATGGTTATTTACAAAGAGTAATACAAATGAGCTTCTCGTCTCATTTAGAAGATAATATCACTCACCCAAGAACATACCACCCTCACGTGCTGAGGAAGAACTGAATAAACCACAAGTACTTTCGTCATATCTACTGTGATTTTTAAATCGTTGTTGCTCAGAAAAGTGCGCGGTTATTTGTAATTAACCGTAAATTGTTAACCCTAACGTAAAGTTGGGTCTCCTAGTCAACGTCTGTGTAAAGTTTTAATTCCTGGAGGGGAGGTGGGGGTTTGAATTTATTCTTATTATCGTGGGCAATATCGACCTTCTTCTTTCCCCTCAGTGACTTTAACTAATTTCCTATATTTTCATATTTTGTCACTGCGTAGCTGCACGTGTTTATAATTACTAGCGAGTTTTTAAAGTCTGCTTAGAATTACTTAAGTTTTGGTTTTGTTTTTGAATTCACATTTCGTTTCTTTAAACTCGTGTTTGTTTGTTTTTTTGCTTAAAGCCACTAGTTCCTTTAACTTCACTCTTTTGTTTCTCTAAACTCACTATTATTTTCTTTGAACTCGCATTTGCTTTTCTTGGATCTTGTAACTTCTTGTTCAATTTGTTGGGTGAAAAGGACACTGCTTAACAATCGCATCAGACAGATTTCAGTTTCGTTGACCACAAAAGAATTCAATAAATCGGGTACTTGTTAGCACTTTTACAATCAAATGACCTTTTAAAAGATTATACACTTAATTATGGAACGACTTTTTTTTTCTTCATAGACAGCATGCCATTACAGTGAAATATTATTTTTTTCCAAAATATTATTTGGGTTATAAATATAAAACAACGAAAAATCTATGTGACTGAATTGTGAAGACCCTTTGTAGCGAAAGAAAAACACTTTATAATAATGTTGTTATCTGTCTTTTTTCACTCATAACTTAATCCTAACTCGGATTCACTGACCTTTTCATTTTGATAAGCTGTGACTGCGATAAATTCGGTCTCCTTGAAGACGTACGTACGGAACGTACTGTACGGTAGCTTAAGGATGTCGTTAGCCCGGACAAGATGAAACCTCGGCTGGTACTTGTGCATCGAGTTCAGGATAGTCTGAGAAACGAATAAAATAAATACATTAACGCCATCTATAAAATTTGCTCTTAATACAACAAACTAATTATATTGTTTAACACACGATAAAATCTTGCCTCTTCTGTGATTTGAATCCCTATAAATCAAAAAGCGACAGATTGATGTTGAAGCGGAGTGACTCAGTTCATACTGAAGCAGAACAATACAGATGGAACAGAAACGACATAATAGAGTGACGTTGAAGCGGAGTGACTCAGTTCATACTGAAGCAGAACAATACAGATGGAACAGAAACGACATAACTAATTGACGTTGAAGCGGAGTGACTCAGTTCATACTGAAGCAGAACAATACAGATGGAACAGAAACGACATAACTAATTGACGTTG